CTGGGGGAGCCTAAGACATTTCAGCCCAGAGACTGGGCAATCTGCCCAGGGTCACCCGGCCAGTAACAGATGGAATCTGGCCTGGAGCCCAAGGTCTTTCCCACACCCAGTAAGGGACAGCTGGGGCACCCACCTCAGAGGAGCAGGCTAGCAGGAGGTCGCAGGGTTCAGATGGGGAGGTGCCGGGGGGGAAGGATGAGTGATAATGGAAGGGAACACACTATAGGTGGGGGTAGAGATGGGAAAACACAGGGGAGACATCTGCTAAGTGTTCACTATGAACCCTGTTACCTCACTTAATCCTCAGGATCCCCTGAAGAGGAGGTACTTGAGGCCGCTGCATTTTACAAACAGAAAACTCACGGACAGACAGAACAACTGCCCAGTCCCAAGGCAGGGTCTATGTGCCAACACCAGCAGTAGGGGGTGAAGAGGGTCCCAGACGGAAACCAAGGCAAAGGCGTCAGAGCCGCCCCCCACAACCCCACTCCCTTACTTCCCAGCAACACTAGCGCTTATGCTAAAATGAGCAGATTCTTTTAACAGAGGGCCTCTTTCTACCACTGACAGGTGCGTTTCTACTTGTCAAACCAGTTTCAAGGACTAAATTTGCAGCACAGATTCCAAAGAGAACAAACAGTAAAGAAGGTCTTTCCAACCTCTTTGTTCTCCATTTAAGAACACCATGGCCACTGCCCCCCAGAGGTCCTGCACGCTCGGGTCCCCTTCACCCTGCAGACATGTCCACTGCACATGAGGAGTGCCCTGGTGGGCAAAAGGCCCCCTCCCCCACTCCAGGATGGACTCTCTGGGGCCAGAGGTCAGGGAGTGGAGAATGAGTCACTGGCAGGACTGGAGGGGGGGGGACAAGCCTCCCAGACCATGGCGGGTGTCCCACGTCACATGCTCTCCAATGCCTGCCTTGCCTGCCATGCCAGCCCCACATGTTCGCCCCATACAACTGCATTTGGCTGCAACTGGGAAGCTGAGCTGAGCCCCGGATCATTCCTGCAGTTTGGTCTGCAAAGACTCCTGGTATGAGTCTGGCCTTGGCCCCCAGAAGACCCAGAAGACCTGGGACTCCAAGGCCCGCCATCAGGACAGGGTGGGGTACATCCAGTTAGCCTCTCCTTTGCTGGTACCCACCTCCACCCACTGGGGAGACTGGAGCACCCAGCTGCCCAGCTGTGCTGAGACAGCCTCTTCCACTCACAATTTCCATCCCACCTCCTCCTCCAGCTCCACTTCCCGTCCACATCAAACAGCCTTGTCTCAGAGACACTGCCCCACCCGGTTCATCCCATCTGCTCAGATATCCTGGGTGGTCAGCAGGTCAGGGATCGCAATTTTATAGATGAGAAAACAAACAAGCTCAGCAAGAACAAGGGCCCTGCTGGAGGCCACAGCAGCACGCTGCTGCCAGGGAGGCCCGGGAGCCCAGGCTAGCAGGAGGTCGCAGGCATGGCTTCACCCCTTCCAGAATGGCTGCACACATGCCCACCCATGCTCATTCAACCATGATTACCGCACGTCCTTCGAGGGGCTGAGGAGAGTGGAAACGAGGGTGGACAGTGTGTGCTCTCCCATTCCAGTGGCAGGGAGGGAGCACCAACGTGAAAACGAACATGTAAGGTCACATCAGATGGCCATTAGCGTAGTGGGGGAAAGCAGGGCCCCTGGCACTGGCAGCAGGTGGGGCTGCTCCGGCAGTCCCCCGGGAACTGGTGGCAGGTGGGGCTGCTCCGGCAGATGGAAGACGGGAAGGAGCCTCTGAGTGCTGAGCTGGGTTAAGCTTCATAGGCCTGAGACCCTCCCCCACAAGCTCCCTCCTCCAGATCGGCCTCACCTCCAGGAATCCCCCAACACATGAGCTCCAGCATGCACCCCCAGAGCCTCCCACCCAGCTGGGCCACCACTCCAGGCCCAGTCCTACCTCTCCTCCACCCCAGCCAGAGGCTCTAACGGGGCCTGGCCAAGCTCGTCCCCAGAAAGGCTCTGCTGAGCAGGCAACCTGTGCTGGAACCCTGGTTTCTCTGTGCTGCCTTCTTCCAGCCTGGGATGCTCCTGCCACCCCATCAACTCAACCCCTGGCTCAGACAACTTCTCCATCACTACGATGAAAGAACATCTTCTGAATAACTTTTCTCCCAATTCAGACCTGCCAAGTCCTCCTTCACCCCTGGCCTTGGGATCGTATCATCACAGCAGGCCCCCAGAATAACCCCTCCATCATCATTCCCTCTAGGTCCTCAGCTCAAATCGTACCCCCTCTCCTTCCCACAGCTTAGAGACCAACGCCAACAAATCCCCCATTCCTCCTCTAGACCTATCAACTTCCCCCTGCAGCCCCAGCCAACCTCCTTGGCCCAATTTTCTGTACTGAGTCTCCTTTTCTACAGCCTGAGAGGCCCCCACTTCCCTCAGTTCCAGGCCTCCCTGGGCACAGAGGCCAGCCACCTGCTACCCAGCATTGACAGGCCCTCTAACAATCTCCTGTCGTGCAAATCCCACTGTCTGAACTCACCAACTTCACCAATGATCTGTCCTCTTGCTGGGTCCCAAGATCATGTAACTCCTTCACTCCCAGGACAACTCCTCATCCCCTCTCCAAGCCAAGGCGGAGCAACTCTTTCAGGCCACAAGTTGATCATTGTTCCATGCTGTCACCCTCCACCTCAGACCCAGTGACTCCACTGGAGTGTGAGTCCTGACCTTGCTGTCCCTCTCTAACCTTCCAGAAAGGAGAGATTCCCCCACCACCTGACTCAGTTATCACCACCTCCACCCCTTACCCAGCGCAGACCAATCAGCAACCATCTTCTCAACTCCTCCCAGCCAGACTCCAAGCAACCCTCTTTCTTGTCCATTTTTCCCTTTTCCAACTCCTCCACTGCCTCTCCAACACTGCCATGGAAAACAGTAAAATATAATAGCAGCTGCTACATATATGGCAGGAGCTTACAAAGAATATCTATTTAATCCTCACAACCTCCCCGCAGCAGCAATCAGCACCTCCATTTGCAGAGAAAGAAACAGGAGGCTCAAGGAGGAAAAGCAGCTTACTCAAAGCTAAATAGCTGGTTACACACAGCTGTGCCTCTTCTGGGACCCTGCAGACCAGAAACTTCATCCCACCCCACCCACTACACCACCATGACCCTCCGACCCACGGACTGACCATTCTCTCTTCTCCTCGTCCTGGGCCCACAAACTTACTACAATCTCCGCCCTTCTCCGGAAGCCTGTGAAGCAGAAACATACAAGCCCCAACCCCCATGAACCAGCTACCTCAGACTGGCCCCTAAAATGACCAATGTCACTAACATCACCCCTGAAATGACCAACAATAACTGCAACTTCGCGTAGGTTCATCCTGTCAATTACTTTTCATACACAATCTTATTTAATCCTCTTTTAAAAGCGTATGGCAGGGTATTATCATCCACTTTAGAGATGGGAAAATTGAGGCTCAAAGGAGTTAAGTAACCAGCCTGAAGTCGTGAAGTAGGGAAATGGGAGTCAGGATTTGAACTAGAGCCTCTGCTCTTCACCACTCTGCTCTGCCTTTTACTCTTCCCTCCTTCCTGCTCTGAACTCCCTGGACTGCACACCATGCTATAGCCAGGGCCCATTCTGACTCTTTCCTCAGCCCCATTACCCCAAGCCCTCCAACCCAAAGTGACCACCTATGCCTGGGGCCTGCAGCCCAACGTTTTGGCAGACACCCAATGCCAACAATCTTAAATTAACCACTACCTCTTTAACATTAACTAGCCAAACTGGCATATATTATGGTGGGCTCCCTGTGTGTTCAGCTTCCAATTACCATGGCTCCCTCTCTCAAGTCAAAGCCACCAATTCCTCCACTGCCCACACACTAACAACAATCCCGCCCTTTTACCAGGGCCAAAAGACCAATTTCTATAGAGCCAGGGCCAGTCTGATCCCTCTCTTTTCAGGCTCCACCTCAGCAAGGCTGACAGACTTCTCCAGCATTTTAACAGATTCAACACCGCTGTCCATCTCTGGAGTGACTTTCCACCTTCCCAGGCCTATGGGTAAAACACACTCCTCCAGCTGCCCTGTCCATTCCAACACTGACCTGACCTTCTCCAAGGGTCCTATAATCCAGGGACTTGTTTCTCCTGATATCTCAAGCTATCAAACTTTTTTAATGCTCTCACCTTCTACTGACCAGCAACTCCAATACCCCAACTCTTCCTCTGGGGAAAAACACACACACACACACACACATCCTTCTATGGTCAGGCACCAAAGTTCCTCTGCTCCTGAACGACTGAAAATATTCTGCTTCCCTTTTTGGGGAGAGGAAGAGGAGGCATCCAGTGACTTTTCTTCTTAATGCCAAGATCTAACACCTCCTCTGACTATCTCACCCACCCCCAAGGTGACCATCAACTCTGCTCCTTTTCTGAGAGTTTATCTAGACTTCCTTTTCTCAGCCCCAGGATTTACTGACCCCCTCGAGCCACAGTCCAGGTTTATTCCTCTTCCTCCCTTCAGCCAAGAAAATGAGCAACATGACCACCTCTTGCACCCCCAAGGCTTGCAGATCAGTAACTTAACCTCTTTCCACACCCCCACCAGCCCATCAAATTCCTCCAACTGCCCTTTCTGAGCGATTGTTGACCCACTCTTCCTCCCCTGACTGCTCTCTCTATCCTTCTCTGGGTAAAGTATTAACTCAAGGGCTACCGCCTTCCCAATCTCGCAAGCCACCAAACTTTTAATTGCTTATCGTTTTAATTCCTGAAACAATCACCTTTCAGCTTCCCTTGGAGCAGGAGCAAGGGGAGACAGTGGGCATTTAAACCAGCTACTTTTCATCTTCCCAACTCAATCTCTAACCCCCTGCAGCTCTCAATTGACGACCTTCTCCTTAAATCATCATTAGGTGCAACTTATTGAGTGCCCCCGCTGTGCCCTGCGCTGCACCGACTCCCGGGTCCCCCAAGCGTCCGCGCCCCGGCGGTAACTACCGTGTCTCCAGGGGTCTTTGGGTTCCACGGCCCCGGACACGATATCCTCGTCGGAAGGGAACGTGACGCGCTTGGCCGCAGCCTTGAGGCGCCCGTCGACTGGGGGCGATGAGGGGCTGGGAGACCGGGCCTCGGCGGGGGCCTCCTCGGCGTCGCCGTCCGCGCCCGGCCCGGGCGGCGCCTCCTGCGGCGGGATCTCCATCACCGCCGCCGCCGCCTCCTCACGGGGGCCCCGGGGACATGCCCCCGGTCCCGGACTCGTCTCTCCGGGCCCGCCCGCCGTCCCGGGGCATGAGCTCTGCCGCGCTTCAGGGGCCGGCTCGGTCTGCTCTCTGGTCGTCGTAGTCTTCGCCGCCGGGAGCCGGAGCGCGCCTCCCCCGAGCCCCGCGCGCGCCTGCTAGTTCGCAGCCGCACTTTCGTTAAGGCCCGTGAACCCGCCGTACACCAAGAAAAACAGAAAATTAATTTAAGCTATTTGCAGGTAGAATTGTCTCGCGAGTTGGTGATGGAGGAGGAAAAAAAGGCAAAAAGAGCCACGGAGAAAAGAAACGTGAGTAGTGAATCTGCAGAATATGAGAGGCGGGGCGAAGTAGACGCCGTCTCCCAGAGCAGCGCGCAAGCGCGAACCTGAGCACCTCCCCCCACTCTTCCTCCCCGCCTCAGTTTAGATAACTGAGGATCAGGCTCGCACGTATTCGTCACGAGCTCAGACAACGATGGGAATGGAGATGATCGAAATAAAACATCTGGTTGGCAGGGCTAGGACAACGGATAAGGAAAGAAATAAAGGGATGGAGAACTTGAAAGGCGATGGGACCTGTGTTGACTATATGAATATAGGTGATGAATGCCAATAGACAGATCCTCTGGAGATAAAGCCTGTGCCCCCTTACTAGTTATTCTCTAGCCTTCTATTTGCAGGCTGCAGTTTCATCAATAGTGCTCGGTATTTGGATACCGTTGCATAAAATACAGTTAAAAATTTAAAACTAAAATAAGTATGAACTGATAATGAGTATCATGGCCCTGATTTAAAAACAAAACAAAACTGGGAATAGGAAGAAATTGCAAAGCGAGAGACGAATCTGCCAACCAAAATACACGGCGATGGAGCAGGTAGATCAAACTAGAAGCTAACCGGCTGGAGCTCAAGGCACTCCACCCCTCCACTTCCCGCTTCCGGGCTCAATTCAATAGCTAATATTCGCCTTCTCACTTTCGCTAGGCTTCCCCAGTCCATCCGGCAACCTTGGAGGGTGGAGGCGGAGCTAAAACAAGGGAGGGGGTACTTAGGGAGGAGCTAGCAACGTCGTTGCCAGGACAACTCGAGAGCTGGGCCGACGACTAGCCGGAGGCGGTGTTGTGAATGGGCACGTGGGAGCTGAGGCTCTCCGCTTGCCCATTCAACATCTTCGGGACGCCGCACTTCCGTGACTGAAAGCAAAGCAAGTCTCATCTATATTTAATGGAATCTTCACTGACATTCTGAAGTTGATGGGACTACAAAAGGGGGGAGAAATGATTTTTTAAAGCTAATGTGGATTCTGTAACAACTTTCTATGTTGACAGACATTTGTGTTGACTGATAGAAACCCGCACTAGAGGAGGTGAGGATTTAATATGGGTAACAGTTAAACCACTATGTTGTATATTTGAAACCAATATAAGATTACATATCAACAATACTTCAAAAAAAAGAAAAGCAAAAAAATTCACATAGAGGAAAATAAAAAAAGCGAATCTGGTAAAAGACTACTAGTGACGGGGTAAGCAAAGCGAGTGATGGGGACTGTCAGGGTAAACAGCTGGAGCGAAGTGGATGAGCGGTAGCGGCTTCAACTCGAACCTCGTCTTCAGCCTTTTTTCAAAGGCGCCGCAGCATACGTTCCGAACCTTACGCGCGTGAGCCCCGAGAATCTGCAGTCTCTGGTGTCCGCACCACCCAGAGGCGGGGCAACGGCACGAGAGCGCTTGCGCGCGACCCTGCAACTCAGCCCGAGTAAAGAAAGCCTCGCTTGTTACCTTCCTGCCCATCCGGAAAAGAAATCGAATACAAATCTCCTAAACCCAGCGTTCAGGTCGCTCCAGCTCCTTCCGGGAGTCTAGGAGCAAGCCAATCCCCGCACCTTTATCCGGGTTTCTCCCGGCAAGCCGATCCCCACACCTTTATCCGAGTTTCTCCCGGCAAGCCGATCCCCGCACCTTTATCCGAGTTTCTCCCGGCCCCTTTGATGTGTCTTCCCTTCTAGACCCAAGCTCCACCGGCTTCAGCCTTTAGATGGCCACCTGTCCACCCCCAAAATCTGACTCCATCCCTGTGTGGCACACTTAAAAAAAAAAAATACAGGAGGTGAATTTTCCTAGGACAATTGTTTATTTGGTGGAGGGGAGTATAGTGGAGTATCTTCAGGGTGGCAGAACTTTGCAACTTCTTCAATAATCAGTTTCCCACTCTGCAGCTTGCTTTCCTTTATGCCCCGCTCCCCCGAGTCTTCAGGAACTGGCATGAGGCCCATGTTTCTGTAGAGTTTAGAGTTCGGTGAGGTACAGCATTCCTTCCAAGAGGATCTAGAACTCTGGGAGTTGCAGAATTTTACTGACTAGCCCCTGAAGGTCCCCAGAACCCAGAGTTACTTGGAGCTTGGCACAAAATTCCAAGGGAGTTCCAAATTCTATGGGGCTCAGAGTTCTGGACTCAGGAATATTTGGAGGCCTGGAATACTGTGGCTAGGCCTAGGGTAGAAAGATGAGCACAAAAATGTCTTTATGGCTTGAAGGTGTATGCAATAATGTCACTACACCGGAGCAGTGCCTCAGCCTGCACACCTATGGGAGTCTGCAGCTGTGACACATAGAAGTTGGCCACATCCAGGTCAGTGGCTCCAAAGTGAGCAGTCACATGCACACCTTCGTGCAATGTGAAGCTCACCGGGTGACCCACCATGGCCAGCAGGCTTCGGAGGTAGCGTTCCCGAAGGGCAGCTCGGGCCTGCTGTTCCTGGGATTCCCGAGATTCTTGAACTATAGAGGACTCCAGGATTTCAGGGACCTGTGGCTTCAGAAGGGCCCTGCGTCCATCGGGGGCAAAGCCTCGGCTGAAGCCATCAGGGCCGCGGGGGAGCCGGAGAACAGGTACAGGAATGGCCAGTGGGGTCTGCATTATCCTGGCTGTCGGGTGAAGAAGAGCAGGAAGACATTACATAGGAGCGCAGGACCACAGGAAGATGGGGGAATGGGAGCAGAGGCTTGCCTACCCCATCACAACGTAACCCTGTCCCAAACCCAACTCCTAAGGTCCCCTCCTTCCCAGGATCTGGCACCACCATTCACAAGGTCATGACTTTCGACATGACTTTTGAGCAGGACTTTCGACAGTTTTCATCACTGCTCTACCCCCACTCCCTGGCAATAAATATTTGCTGAAAGAATGAACCTCAGCCTCGTCTCCTCTCTCACACACAGTCCATCCAACCCACTAGGAAATGCAACCTTCTAAATAATTCCCTTTCACAGGAGCCAGCTGGGCTCCCACTGGCCAGATCAGGAATGATGTGAACATTAAAATAATGATAGTTACAGGTTATAACCCACTGAACAGAAATCCATCAGTCTTTACTAATTGTAAATAAATAAGCGAACTAATAAATAAAGGAGAAAGAAAATTCTTCCTCACCATAGAAGGGTAGCTAAAGTCACCAACGGATGCTAAAATTTGTGGATGAACATTTAAGGAGGTCTAGGATATCTGCATAGTCTTAAAGTACCTCCTGACAAGATATTTATTCACTGTAAAGAGTAAAGAGTCTAAGAATGCAGGAGCCCAGTTTGAAAAAGACAGATGCACCTCTATGTTTATCCCAGCACTATTTACAATAGCCAAGAAATGGAAGCAATCTAAGTGTCCAACAGTAGATGAATGGATAAAGAAGATGTGGTCCATATACACAATGGAATATTATTCAGCCATAAGAAGACAAATCCTACCATTTGCAACAACATGGATGGAGCTGGAGGACATTATGCTCAGTGAAATAAGGCAGGTGGAGAAAGACAAGTACCAAATGATTTCACTCATCTGTGGAGATTAAGAACAAAGAAAAAACTGAAGGAACAAAACAGCAGCAGACTCACAGAACCCAAGAATGGACTAACAGTTACCAAAGGGGAAGGGACTGGGGAGGCTGGGTGGGAAGGGAGGGATAAGGAGGGAAAAGGGGCATTGGGATTAGCACACATAATGTAGGGGGGGTCATGGGGAAGGCAGTATAGCACAGAGAAGATAAGTAGTGATTCTATAGCATCTTACTATGCTGATGGACAGAGACTGTAATGGGGTATGTGGTAGGGACTTGATGATGGGGAAATCTAGTAACCACAGTGTTATTCATGTAATTGTATATTAATGATACCAAAAAAAAAAAAAGAGTAAAAAGTAACTTTACAGTAGGGACACTGGGTGGACACCACCTGAACTCAGGCATCAAAGCCAACAATGCAGGAATGGGACAACGGGACCCCACGTGCCCCAGAGGTGATGCACTGAGGACAGGGCACCGCTCCTGTGTATTCCTAAATGGATCACCTTCATCTAATCTTAAGGAAACTAAGGGACACTCTACAGAAAAAATAGCCTGGCTTTTTAAAAAATATAAAGGTTGTAAAAGAGAAAAAAAGGCTGAGGGGGAAAACACCCACACACACACACACACATTTCCCCCCAAAGCCTAACACCTCTCCATTTCTCCACTACCCATATCTTAGTCCAGGCACCATCACTTCCTGCCTTGACCACTTAAGTCACCTCCTCACACTGCTCCCCCACCCAGGGCTGTCTCCACACACAGCCAGGAGGCCCTTGTTAACACATGAGTCAGATCACATCTCTCCTCTGCTCAGAGCCCTGCCCGACCACCCAGAGTGGAAGCCAGAGTCCTCATCACAGACCTCCAGGCACACCCCACACCTGCTCTCTCCACCCCAGGCCTGCTGGTCCTTAGGCTACCAGGCACTGCCCCTGCTCTGGCCCTGGCACCCGTCATTCCTTCTGCCTGTATGTCCTTTCCCTCTTGTCTGTCTTAAAGAGCTACCCTTCATCCCCTTCATCCCCTCAATCTGCTCCATCATTCTTTATAGCACACAACACCTTTGCATGACATTGCACATTTATGGTTCTGCTTATGGTCCTTCCCCCCGGGGTGAGCTGCTGCCTCCCCACCTGCAGCCGCCCTGCTTTTTTCCCATTGCTGCAGCCCCAGTTCCTTGGAACACTCAGAGGCACAAAGACTAGGTTCATTGAATACTGTTCCCCTCTCCCAGCTCAAATGAATGGAGTGGAGACAGAGCTCTAAGGCCTGCTTAGCTAGATGACCTCAAGCAACAGTCAGTTTCCTCTTCCATTGTATGGAGAAATGGCACCAACTGCCACTTCTGCTTGTTATCTGGACTCAACTGGGCTCCTGTAGGACAAGGCCTGGTACAAACTAGATTCTCCACAAAAGTCAGTTACAGTTGTTATTGTTAGTATTGCTGTGTGACCTGGTGTTAAGTTGTGTAACTGCCCTGTGCCTCAGTTTCTCTATCTGTAAAATGGAGCTAAGCGGAACAGCCTCCCAGGGCTGTCATGGGAATAAATGACCTAACAAATGCACAGTGTTTAGCACATGCCTGGAATATGCTGATGGACAGAGACTGTAATGGGGTATGTGGTAGGGACTTGATGATGGGGAAATCTAGTAACCACAGTGTTATTCATGTAATTGTATATTAATGATACCAAAAAAAAAAAAAGAGTAAAAAGTAACTTTACAGTAGGGACACTGGGTGGACACCACCTGAACTCAGGCATCAAAGCCAACAATGCAGGAATGGGACAACGGGACCCCACGTGCCCCAGAGGTGATGCACTGAGGACAGGGCACCGCTCCTGTGTATTCCTAAATGGATCACCTTCATCTAATCTTAAGGAAACTAAGGGACACTCTACAGAAAAAATAGCCTGGCTTTTTAAAAAATATAAAGGTTGTAAAAGATAAAAAAAGGCTGAGGGGGAAAACACCCACACACACACACACACATTTCCCCCCAAAGCCTAACACCTCTCCATTTCTCCACTACCCATATCTTAGTCCAGGCACCATCACTTCCTGCCTTGACCACTTAAGTCACCTCCTCACACTGCTCCCCCACCCAGGGCTGTCTCCACACACAGCCAGGAGGCCCTTGTTAACACATGAGTCAGATCACATCTCTCCTCTGCTCAGAGCCCTGCCCTACCACCCAGAGTGGAAGCCAGAGTCCTCATCACAGACCTCCAGGCACACCCCACACCTGCTCTCTCCACCCCAGGCCTGCTGGTCCTTAGGCTACCAGGCACTGCCCCTGCTCTGGCCCTGGCACCCGTCATTCCTTCTGCCTGTATGTCCTTTCCCTCTTGTCTGTCTTAAAGAGCTACCCTTCATCCCCTTCATCCCCTCAATCTGCTCCATCATTCTTTATAGCACACAACACCTTTGCATGACATTGCACATTTATGGTTCTGCTTATGGTCCTTCCCCCCGGGGTGAGCTGCTGCCTCCCCACCTGCAGCCGCCCTGCTTTTTTCCCATTGCTGCAGCCCCAGTTCCTTGGAACACTCAGAGGCACAAAGACTAGGTTCATTGAATACTGTTCCCCTCTCCCAGCTCAAATGAATGGAGTGGAGACAGAGCTCTAAGGCCTGCTTAGCTAGATGACCTCAAGCAACAGTCAGTTTCCTCTTCCATTGTATGGAGAAATGGCACCAACTGCCACGTCTGCTTGTTATCTGGACTCAACTGGGCTCCTGTAGGACAAGGCCTGGTACAAACTAGATTCTCCACAAAAGTCAGTTACAGTTGTTATTGTTAGTATTGCTGTGTGACCTGGTGTTAAGTTGTGTAACTGCCCTGTGCCTCAGTTTCTCTATCTGTAAAATGGAGCTAAGCGGAACAGCCTCCCAGGGCTGTCATGGGAATAAATGACCTAACAAATGCACAGTGTTTAGCACATGCCTGGAACCTATGAAGCTCCATTGCCATGATGTTGACTTCATCTAGGGAAATGCTGGCTCTGTGAGCAGGGGGAGACGAAAAGGATCCAAATTTCAGGCAGCTGTGCCTCTCTCAGTGGCTCAGTCCCCTCCTCTTCAAAGTGACTGGGCGGAGTAACCCACAAGTACTCGGCACCCAGTGATCCACCCCCAGGCCACTCACAGGATGGAAGTGACTGAGATTATCTGTTTTCTTGTTAGCTTCTTCCATCTCTGCAGCTCACCTGTGAGCTTAGCAAGAAAGGACCCTGCAGCAAACGGGCCAAGGCTGTAGGCCAGGGTTTCTCAGCTTCAGCTCTATTGAAATTTGTGAGCTGAATCATTCTTTGTCCTGTTGTGGGGCACTTCCCTATTCATCGGTGTAGGATTTTAGCAGCAGCCCTGGCCTCTACCCACTAGATGCCAGTAGTGTCCCTCCCCACCCCACCCCAAGTTTTGACGAACAAAATTGTCTCCATTGGTGAGTAGAATGTGTTATGAGAATTACATCTCAATAAAGCCTTTTGAAAAAGAAATTTTCCATATATTGTCCCCCTGGGGGACAAAAAAAAAAAGCCTCTAGTTAGGAAATCACTGATTCCCAAAAAGGTGAGGGCAGGTAATGATGGCTACTGAACACATGAACAGATTCACAACTTCATGACACCAGAGAAATGCAAATGAAAGCTACGGTGCTTCGCCTCCCTAGTTAGGGAAGACCAGAAAGGCCCTAAAACATGGTGTTGGTGTTAAAAGTACAGGAACATCTTCAAATCCCTGGTGGCAAGGGTGTGATTCAGAACAGCCTCAAAGAAAGGCAGTTTGACAGGGTGCATGAATACTGTAAATGCCAGTCATTCATTCGTCACCCAGCCCATGAGGAGCCTGGGGCAGAGGACTTTTAGCTTTCTACCTTTTTGTGTCTTTTAAATTCTGTACTATTCAAAATGATTTTTTAAGGTCTGATTTTAAAGGGAAGGGGCATATTAAAATGCTTCCATGTCCCTTAGAGAACGTTAGGCTTCCCTCAGGAACCTGAAGTCCCTCTCCTTAGGGTCACCCACTCCCCAACCTCTTTCTCTTGCCAACCTACACCTTTCCTAGGCTGCCAAGGAAGCGTAGTTAGCTGCCAAGTCCTACAGATTAGGCACCCCCATCTGGTGGCCCAAACTGAATCCTTATTAACAGAAGTCAGTAAATTTTCTGTGTGAAGGGCCCACAGTAAATATTTTAGGCAGAAGGGCCATAGGCTTTCCATCACAACCACTCAACTATGTCACAGGAGCAGGAAAATAGTCAAAAGCAATACGTAAACAGTGAACACGGCCATGTCCCAATAAGACCTTACTTACTGAAACACCCAAATTTTGAGTATTTTATATAATTCCATGTGCTATAAATTATATTTTTAAGTTTTCCAACCACTTAAAAATGCAAAACCTAGTCTTAGCTCATTGGTCATACAAGAATTCAAGTGGCAGGTCACAGCTCACCACCTGGCAGAGGGTATGTGGGTGTGGGTTTGGGGACCCTGGGGGGCTTAGCCCCCTCAGGTTCATGACAAGAGATCTGGGCAGGTCACTGCAACTCTGTGAGCAGCCTCCCTGTTCTGGCTCCACATCTGTGAAATGAAGCATAAAAAAGTACCTCCTAGGGTTATTGGGAGAAGGAGAATCTTGCAGGGGTAGGCTGGTGATCACACAGGCAAAGGGTATCCCACATTCTCCTGGACTCCTCCTCACTTTTTCTATCATCCATATTCAATCCATTAATAAAACCCTGATGGGCTTGTCTTCAAGGGCTCTGTCTTCAAAAATGCATCCAGAATCCACCACCTTTTCATATTCCACCTCACCCCCAACTCTGCACCCAACTTGGTCCAGCCACCATCACCTTCCCCTGGACTACTGCAGTCTCCTCCTCACCAGGCTCCCAGCCTCCGCTTTCATGCAATAGTCTGTTCCCCACGCAGCTGTCAGAGGGATTCTGCTAGAAGTAAGTCTGACCACACCCCTCCTTTGCTCAGAGCCCTCCCAATGGCTTCCATTTCACCCAGAGCAAAAGCCACACACTTGTCATGATGGCTACAAAGCCCCAACATGTCTCTGACCTTACCTCCCACCCCACTCTGCGTTGCTCACTGCTGTTAATCCTTTAACATGCCAAGCGGATTTCTGCCTCAGGGCCTTTGCATGTGCTGTCTTACTGCCTGGAACCCTCTTCCAGATGGAGATGTGTATATTTCCAGATACACAGCTCACCTTCTCCCTCACTTCACTTAGATCACTGCTCAAACGACACTTCACAGGGAGGAAAACAGTACCCCTGTCACCCTGCATTATCTTCAACTCACAGATATTATGAGGTTTTACCTCCTGTTAATTCTATCACCTCCCAACAATGCATATTTACTTGTTTACCTATGCCACAGAATATAAGCCTTTGAGAGAAGGGACACAAACACTTACTTTACAACTTCATCCCCAGTCCCACTTAGAGCTTGGCAAATGAGGAGCTCAGTAAATATCTGTTGAAGGAATGTAAAGATTCATCCAATCACATTATCTGACATTATCAACTCGCATCATCCAAGCACCTGCTCCATGCACAGACCACCCTGGGCAATGCTGCGGACACAGCTATGAAGGAAACAGCCCTACCCTGCCTTCATGGACTCACAGTCCAGTGGGTGACACACGCTTGTCTCTAGACAGTGATGACCCAGAGTGGGCAGGGCTGGAATGAAGGAGCCTAGGGACCTCAGAGGCCCAGAGGTGACACCCAGCCCAGCCCAGCCTGGGGGACAAAACACAGTTTCCAGGAAGGGCATTCAGGAAAGCTCTCTCTGACAAGGTTACATGTAAACACAGGCCTGAATGAAGTAAAGAATTGAGACTTACAGACATCTAGGGCAAAGCATCCCAGCCAGTAAGAAGAGCAAAGGCACAGCCCACATAGCAAGGCCAGTGTGTAGGAGGTGGGGACAGGGCAGACTGCGCAGGGACCCAGGGGACCACGGCTGAGAACTTGGGTCTCTACTCTGAGTGAGATGGGAACCACAAGACAGTTCTGAGCAGAGGGACAGGTGCCCTCTACCCTCTGCCCACTGCTCGGAGGAAGGACCGTGAAGGACAAAGGGAGATGCAGGATGCCCAGTGAGGGAGCCACCGCAGTGATCCAGGAGGAAGGTGATGGTGTCTGGAACAGGGCGGGACAGTGGGGTGGGGAGAAGAGGTCAGGGTCAGATCACCTGCATATTTTGAAGGCTGAGAGCCCTCACTGTTTACTGGTGGACTGAGAGAAAAAGCAGAGCCAAGGAAGACTCCCAGGTTTTTTGCCTGATGCACAAGATCACAATAAATGGGATTAACGGGGCATATACCTTTTCTTTATCTGACCACTACCACTGTGAACGAATGGGATTAAAGGATATATACACTCCCCATTTTATCTGACCATTGCACACCACGCTTAGTCAAGGGTCATCAGCCCCCGGGGCTTCCCCCCCCTCCCCGACCTAGGTTAACACATGAGAGATTTAAGAGAAACACACTAGTCTCCAGGGCTAGTACTTAACAAAGGACTGATGGAAAATGAATAAATGGCCAAAGAATTATATCAAACCCTTAGATAAAATTAAGGGTGGGTTTGCATAGGGCCTTGTTTTCTCCATTAGGGGGAAGAAACAAAAGAAAATCTGGTCATACCATGCAATCCTCATTTTCCTGAAGAAGAAACTGGAGCTGGGGAATGTCAAACCACCTACTGGGTACAAGCTGCTGAGTAAGGAAAGGGGGCAAACCCAGGATGGTCTGGGCAGAAAACATCGGGGGCCATCGATAACCCTGCTCTATGCAGAGGGGCAGACTTTTTTTCAACCAGCACAGGGTAGCTGTTGGAGGTTTTGGAACCAAGGTGGGACCTGATGGAGGCCAGTTTTGGAGAAAGGTCACATAGGGTGTGCCCAAGAGGACCAAAACAGGTATTATCCATTCTCCCCAGTGACCAGGCCCTAGAGTCCTTTATCCTTTCAGTCTCCAAGCCAAGGATTTCCTGCCTTAAGATTTCAAAAAACCGATTAGATTCAAGGGCCTGTGGCTTGCTTGGGTCAACAGGCATCTGCAAGAGACTCACACGCTTCCTTCCTCGGGGCCTCAATGCTCAGTTTCAAGAAAATGAGGACGGATCAGCTAGGTGGACGTTTAACTAACCCTTCAGTTGCCGGGGTAGGATACCGAGTTACCAGGTGAACAGCGAAGACCACACACCTAACTAACCAAGGTGCTGACATGTCCATACACTCCATGGGCGGCTCCTGGGGACGCAAACGTGTTAAACAGAGCCTCCCAGGAAGGTCAGAACCTCTAGCCCCGAAACCTTACTCTTTCCTCAGCACCCCCAGGCCGGTAAGTTTCCTTTCAATTCCGCCCTAGCCACCAATCGATAGCCTTTTCTTATACTAAGTAGGTCCTCCCGGCCCCCAGGCGTCCACTCCCCGCTCCGTGTGGGCTGCATTTTCTTCCCACCTCCCGGCTCCGATTAAGCAAGATATTCTAGCACCCAGGAGAGGCGGGAGTCTACGGCTTGCTGCCGTTACTCCTGTTAGTACGGTCATCGTTATTTCCCCGAGGGGAGGCATTCTGCACCCTCCCAGCACCCCTCCCCACCCCCGGCGCGGGAACACGCCTTCTGCACAGTTCGGCACCAGTCTCCGGTGCAGGCATTTGGGCCCAGAACGACCTCGCTGTTGGCGCGGCGGGCGCCGACCTGCCTGTAATCGCCACTCCCGGCCTTGCGCGCGGGTGGGCATCCCGTCCCGAGCCGGGGCCAGGAAGGGGCCACGTGCCCGGGAGCCACTACCAACACCCGGTACTCACCAAGGTCCGCGGCAGCTGGCGCCCCCACTTCCGCCGGCGCCCCATCCGCAGAGGCCCGGGCGAGCCACAAGCCGCCCGCCCTGGGTTCCGCCCGCGCTGTTGCCGCCCCACGTGGTTGCCGGCGGGCACGCGAGCTCGGAAGCCCGCACAGCCCGAAGCACTACCCCGCCGGCGGCACGGAGGGGCATTTCAATCAGATCTGCCAGCCTCCGAGTGGGCGGCGACCGGAATACCCCTTTTACGAATGAAGAAACTGAGTTTCAGAGAGGGAAAGACGTCCTCTGCTGGGATAAGGACACCCCCATTCCTGCTACACGTGCACACTCCTACCCCTCACTTGCAGTCTGAACCTCACCTCCCCTACATGAAACCTTCAGCAGCCACGGACCAGAAAATAGCCTTGGAGAGAGCAGCAGCTGGGATGGACCTGGATTGGTCGTTTTTTCCCGCAGACCCCCCTGCTGCCCCATCTTACAAAGGAGGAAACTGAGGCCCTGAAAGACGGAAGGTCTGGCTTGAGGTGCTAATGGAGCCTTACCACGCAGGGCTCAGACCGAAACTCACCTCTTCCACAGTGGGGGACGCTGTGGGCCTCTGCTTCCACCAGGTTCCCAAGGCCTAGTACCTGCTGCACAGGCCCCCTGAAAATATCTAATTAAAAGAATGTGCATAGCAACAGTGACTGCCTAGAGGTGTGGGTGGAGACTTGATAATATGGGTAAATATAGTAACCACATTGTTTTTTCATGTGAAACCTTAATAAGAGTGTATATCAATACCTTAATAAAAAATTAAAAAATAAATTGTAGGTAAACGTCCGGGAAAAAAAAAAAGAATGTGCATAGCAGGGGCTCAGTACAAATGTGTTGACTGAGCTATGAGCAAGTAGAGTCTCTATTTGTGAACAAGGCAGACTGGGCTTCCTGTTGTCTCAGAACCTACATTCTGGGGGCCCTGGATGGGGAAGAATAGGGTATACATGAGCAAATACATCAGCCAGATCCTTTAAGGCTTGAAGACTGATGCGAAAAGAATAAATATGGGCAGTGAGAGAGTGGGTGGCAGGGTTAGAGAGCTTCTTTAATTGGCTGGTAAGAAGTGACAGTGAAGAAAAAGGCACCTGAGGTAACAGATGGGGAAACTGAGGCCCAGGAGGGACCTGCGGACAGATGAAGGTCATGGAGTGTAAACTGTTAAGGCCTTCAGCAGGGTGGGGCTACTTTAGATACAGTGGTCAGGGAGGTCCTCTGCTCTCAGGAGGACAATTGAACTGAGACCTGAATAACAATATGAGGAACTCTTAGGCCTGGAGCTGTACTCCAGGAGATTAGCATGTGAAATTCACTCAGTGCTGGGCTGGGGACACATGCGCTGGGGGACAGACCCTGGCCCCTGACCTTAGGGGGGCTTGTTTTGTGGGTGGGTGTTGGGATAGGACTGTCAACAAACAGTTCTCTGTTATGATGTGGTTTGTGCCAGGAAGAAAAGAAAACCTGTAAGGGTTGAAGGGTGGGGCAGGGTGTTGATGCCACTTCAAACCGTGATCAGAGAGAGCTGCTTTGAGGAGGGAAGTTCAAGACAGTTGTCTATTTGGTTTTAATAGTGATTCCAGGTCCGGGAGCAGAGTAGATTTGTGATCACAACCCTCCTCTGCTCAAAACTCTTCCTAGGCTTCGGTTTCAGAAAACCAGTGACCTTTAAGTGGTCAAAAGACCCCTCTTGGATCTGACTCCATTTTCTCACCAAAATCAGCCACCCCTTGTCCCCATGCCCTCCTCCCTTCCTTGTTATTCTTGAATACGGGGGTTGGCTGACTGGCTGGGTCCCTCACTTCCCTCAAGTCTCAACTCCGAATACCCATTCGAGGCATGAGGAGAAAACGGAGACCCCCACCCCAGCACCCCTGGCCCTTTATTAACCTTCCTAGCTTTTCTTTTTTTTTTTTACTTTTTGTGGGTTTTTTTGTATCATTAATCTACAATTACATGAGCTACATTATGTTTACTAGACTCTCTCCATCATCAAGTCCCCCCCACATACCCCATTACAGTCACTGTCCATCAGCGTAGTAAGATGCTTCCTAGCTTTTTCTTTGCTCCACGGCACTTGTCACCCTGAAGGTACCTTGTATTTGTCATAGTTATCTTGTGGAAAGTCTGTACTAACGCATATGAGGCCAGGCATTATTGTCTGTTTTGTTCACCGCTGTACTCCGAGCATTTAGAACAGAAGCTGGCGCATAGTAGGCGCTCAATAAATGTTCACCCAGTGAATTTTTATTGTAATGCATTTAATGGAATAGTCCAGATTACTATTAGGCGCCTAGTTAGAAACGTGGCCCCTAACATTTTCTCACTTGGGGGTGTGTAGGGGCACCCAGTGCCTCAGTTTCACCAGTCCTTAAACCGGAGGCAGGAATAGCTGTTTCTATGCGGGCTACGGGCAAACTCGGGGGTCTCTCAGGTTCCGATGCCAAGTGCGCAGGCATAGCCTTGATCGAGTTTGGCTGCCGGCCGCCCGGTCCTCTCCGTCAGGACCCGCCCTGGTGGGTGGAGCCACGGGCCGGGCCAGCACGTGTAAGAGTCCGCGGCGAGTCGCCCAGTCACTCACCTGAGCGCTTCAGTCCGAGTGCGCACGGCCTGCGCGTCCTCCGCCCGCCAGCTCGCCTGCCCGCCGGCCCAACCGGCCCGCGACCCATGTCCCGCCGCAAGGCCGGCTGCACGCCCCGCCGAGTAGACCCCGCGCCCGCCGCCAACCCAGACGACGAGCTGGAGATGCCGGACCTCGTCATCGAGATGAAGACCGAGCCGGTCGCTCGGCCCCTACAGGCCCCGGGGTTCGGGCTCTTCTCTCCGAAGGAAATGCCTGCGTCGGGGCATTTCGAGGGCGAACCCTGCCACTCCTCCGGCCACGCGCCCGCCGGGGGCCCCCTCCACGCCCTCGGCGCGCGGAACCAGTGGGCACTGTGGACGCCACTGGTCCCCAGCCTTATCGGTGAGCGCCGCCTACCCCTGCCGCGGGCCCCACCTCCCACACCCTTCATTTTCAGGTGGGACTCCGTTCTCTGGGCCCCGACCCCGGCCCCTGCCTCATTTCCCTCTCCGGTCCTGGCCTCCAGCCCCACTTCTGACCTTCGGGTTTTCCCTCTCGGAACCCTCAGCCCCCATCCGGGCCCCACCCCACGCTTACCACCCGCTTCCTCCCTGCAGACCGCCAGCCCTGGACCGACAAACACCCAGATCTGTTGACCTGCGGTCGCTGCTTGCAGACCTTCCCCCTGGAGGCCATCACTGCTTTCATGGACCACAAGAAACTGGGCTGCCAGCTCCTCAGAGGCCCCAGCCCTTGCCAGGGCTCAGGTGAGTCAAGCGGGTGTGCAGTCCCCCTCGAAAGTGCAAGGGCCTGGCTTCCTGTGGGAGAAGGGGCTGAGCTGGACAGGCAGGGCACTGAGCACTACTTCCCCTTTCTCACTCCCCGTCGGGTGCAGCCTAGGCGTGGCCAGGGCCTGCCCTGTCCCCAGGCTGGAACTAGTGGTGTTTGTGGGGAGTGGGGGGGGGGGGGGTAGGTGGGAGCAGGGGCTGGGCAAGGAAGGAGGGCCGCCCACAGGGTGTGGCCAGCCCCAGAAGACTGGTCTGGGGATTTGCCACACATACCCCCCCCAATCTGGTTTCACTTCTCCTTCCCCTTGGCCAGAAATAACTGGCCAGGTGCTGGACCAGTGTGGCAGTAGGGGGACCTCTGGGGAGGGCAGCGGCCTGGGGGAGGGGGAGCTGAGGCCAGCTGGGAGGGTGTATTGCCCCCCAACCTCTTTATCACTTTACCTTGAGGTGTTGGGTATTTGCTCAGAGCCAGGGAAGGCATTGCTGGCTTGCCTCCCTGATGGAATCTCCCAGCCCTGCTTGTTGGGAAGCCCCTGGTTTGAGCTAGGTCTGGACACCTGGGACCTTCTCTTGGGAGGGAATCAGAAATACCCATGGTACTAGACTCCTGATGAGCTTTTGGTTAGCGTCAGCTGCGGAGCTCATCCAAACCACGAATTTCCAGTCCCCAGTGCGTGTGCTTCTAAGATTTTTGAGAAATGGAATTATATTCAAGGCTGGGCTGGAGAGGGGACGGGGATGGGGAGGTGTTCTCTGGTGGGAGAGGAGGGGCTGTGATTGAATCATGTGGAGTTGAAGCGGGGAGGGTGGCCTGGTGAGTGAGTTGAGGGACTGTGATTGAATCAGTGGAACAAAACACTCCAAGGCACTTGGACTTGGAGAAATGCAGGCACCTCAGCCACTTGGGCTCAGCTCATGTTTACTGAAGGCTTACATGGACCAAAACTCTCAGCTATTCTCCACTAGAGGTCACAACCTCAAAGGGAGAGGACCCCTAGGATTCCCGTATTTTAAGAAATGAGGAAACTGAGACTCTGAGAGGGGTGTTTCTTACCCAAGATCACACAGCTAGGAAGCAGGAGAGTGGGTTATATAGTCAGCCAGGCTGGCCCTCTCAGTCCCTGCCTGTACCCTTGACCCTGGTGTTGTATCAGGAAATCCACTCCCATCCAAGACTATCTAATGTTAAAAAAATAAAGGCCAGTGGATCTAGGAAGTATCTTACTGATAGTCCATGGAAGATCTAGAGAAAATAGCCAGTTTGGGGTCCATGTGGAGGGAAGGGGATCTAGCTCACTACCTCCCTGACATCTCTCCAGGTGGCCTCTAAGCCTTCTCCCCATCTAGACTTCAGCTCCTTCTTCTGTAAAGCAGATAAAAAAACCATGCATGGAACCCATGAGCTTGGAGCCTGGCACAGAAACTCACTCAGTAATCAAGAGCTTTTTATTAAATAATCTTTGGAAACTTCTTACTCAATCCCCAGGTTTCTGGATTGAAACCCCAGCTCTACCCCTTCCAAGCTGTGACCTTGGGGAACTCTTTGCCTCATTCTTCCCATCCAGAAAATGGGGGGCTTATTTCCAGTCTGGAACGAAAGCTGTGAGAGTGAGCTGACGCATATGGCACAGTGCCCAGCACACTGAACTTGGTCGCCTCTTCAGTAAAGCCTTCTTGACGCCCCACCATTAAAATAGTACTCCCGACCCTCTCTAACTTTCTTGAAGAGTGTCAAAGAGAATCCTCACGCACTCATCATCCAATCCACAGGTTTTCCACACTTCTAGTCTGCCCACCCACCCTTCTGAACATCAGCTCCCCCGGAAACAGGGAGTTTTGCCTGTCTGATTACTGTTTGTTCTCAGGCCCTAGAGTAGAGCCTTTCCCACAGGTGTCCAACTGGCAGCTGTGAACAGGAACTGCTGACTTTTTGCCCATCTCACTAACACCCAGACTTTCTCTTCCATAGAACGTAAGGACCCAAAAGCCTTGAGCTGCCTCCGCTGCGGCAGAGAGTTCACAGGGGCCTGGAAACTGCTGTGCCACGCCCAGTGGGACCATGGACTGTCCATCTATCAGACAGAGGTTGAGGCCCCAGAGGCCCCGCTGCTAGGCCTGGCAGAGGTGGCTGCGGCCATGTCGGCAGTGGTGGGGCTGGAAGCCGAGGCCCAGGGCTCCCAGGTGAGCAGCGTGCCCCGGCGGAGCTCTACCTGCCCTGTGTGCAAGAAGACCCTCAGCTCCTTCAGCAACCTTAAGGTGCACATGCGCTCGCACACAGGTGAGCGGCCCTACGCCTGTGACCAGTGTCCTTATACCTGTACCCAGAGCAGCAAGCTCAACCGCCATAAGAAGACCCACCGGCAGCTGCTGCCTCAGAGCCCCTGCACGGCTACTGCCAGTCAGGAGCAGGCCTCTGCCACCGCCCCTCCAGAGCCAGCTGCCCATGCCGCTGCCCCGGCCAGTACCCTCCCATGCCGCGGTGGCGAGGGGGCTGGAGCTGCCGCTACAGCAGGAGTCCAGGAACCCGGGGCTCCTGGCAGTGGGGCTCAGGTGGGCCCTGGCGGGGACCGCTGGGGAGCTGCTACCAAGGAACAGAGACCTGACCCTGCAAAGAGCCAGAAAACATCCCCCAAGAAGACACCGAAGCCAGTGGGCAAGAGCCGTGGGCCCGGGGGCAGCTGCGAGTTCTGCGGGAAGCACTTCACCAACAGTAGCAACCTGACGGTGCACAGGCGCTCCCACACGGGCGAGCGGCCCTACACCTGCGAGCTCTGCTCCTACGCCTGTGCCCAAAGCAGCAAGCTCAACCGCCACCGCCGCATGCACGGCCTGGGCCCCGGCTGCACCCGCTTCGAGTGCCCCCACTGCTGTGTGCCTTTCGGCCTGCGTGCCACCCTGGACAAACATCTGCGGCAGAAGCACCCCGAGGTGGGTGGGGAGGCCTAGCAGCAAGAATGTCCTCTCTGCTGTCCCTGGAACCCCTGTTGCTCCTGTCTCCTGTTCTTCCCCTGCTACAAGTAAACTCTCCCTGCCTTGTCACATACACATCTGGATTCCAGCTTTCTTCTTGGGCTGTCTGAGGTGGGGCAGGAGGCTTCCCTCCTTGGGGTGGACAGCTGGACAGACCGGTTTGGAACGAGGGGGTGAGGGGAAAGGCCGGCCCCCAGTGCCCGGGGCACAACAGGACTGGCACAGAAAGCTGTGCTCCCGGTTCCTGGTGTGGGCGAGGCCAGGGCAGGGGCCGAGGTGAGAGCGGGGAGAAGCCTGGACCTGTCACCAGGGGCCCCTGAGCAAAGTCCTGGCCCTCCTCTGTGCTGGGTGCAGGGCCCTTTCCCACAGCAGTGCCCCTGCCCTCCCAGAGCGGCAGCAGGCGCGGTTCTGATTAACAAGGAAGGAGCTGCTGCTTAAGAGATTTGGGTGTGTCTTCCCACACATGCAGCACTGACCCCGACCTAGAACCCAGCAAGCTCCTCCCCAGCCACTGGCTGGTGGGCCTGGGGTTTGGGAGCCCTGCACCAGCCACACAGACGGGACAGTGAGACCAGTGAAGGGAATTAAATAACGAGTCATTTTATTTCATTCATCGGTGATAAAACCAGCAGCATCACAGCCAGAGCCCTCACCCAACCATGCCCCCCAGGCCTCTGCCTAATGTCGGTAATGGGGGCTTCGCGACCTGGACCGTGAGCGCCTGGAGAGAGAGAAGGGAGGCGGCCCATGAGTGCTGGGCTGGAAACCGGGAGCTGCACTGTGCTCACGTGGACACATGCACCAATGCACTTGGGGACCACTGGGGCTATGGCGAGGGGTCAGTCTGCTGTAGAGGCAGGATGTTCCCAGCCAGCCCCGCAAGACCAGGCACACAGGGTGGGGACCACCTGGTCAGGATGCTGGGCTGGCTTGCTTACCTTCGTGAAGAGCTGTATTCTCGACCTGAAAAGAAAGAAGAGTGGGTGTTAAGGCAAATGCCAGGGCCTAGGAGCAGGCCCCAGGGCTGGACTTCCAGCACTTCCAGCCAGTCTGCCCCACAGCAGTGCTGGGCACAAGCAGGGCTTCTAAGTCCTGTATTCCCATGTGACTGAAGCAATCATACCATGTATACGTGTCTTAATTTGTTACTTATGAAGACACAGGCTAGTGTGAGTGTCTAGTGTGAAAATGTAACCGTGGGTTTTGTGACTGGGCCTTGAGGTCCCTGTTTTAATGCCCTGGAGCTTCCAGCCCAGGTGGCTCTCCTGCCCAAGGGGGGCACTCACTGTAACGGGGGGAGGGCGAGCGGCTCTGTCGGCTGTACTGCCGCTCCCATTCCTCTCTCTCCTTCTCTCGGCGTTCCCGCTCCCTGCAGGGGGAAGGGGAGGAACCCAGGAGAGGGGTGAGCCTGCCCAAGAACCATGAACCCCGGGGCCTGCTGTCCCAGGCAGGTGCTTCCAACATCCTAGTCCACGTGGAAGAGCGAACTTGGGGGGACAGGGAGGTAGCACTACATCCTCGCTTGGAAATAAGGAGGACATGGAGCTCAGGGAGGACACTGGCCAGGGCAAAGCCAGGTATGAACCCCAGTCAGCCCTGCTCTGGAAGACAGACATAGAGACACACACACACACAACACACGTGCGCACACACAGACAGGAGAGTTAGCTCACTCTCTGTCACCCTGGGGGCAGGCTCAGAGCACGGGGACATACATGCTAAGTGCTTCATTGGCCTTTGTCAGAATGACGGATTTGTAACCCCAAGGGCTACATTTATCGGGCACCTTCTCCATGCCTGGCCCCAATCTCAATGAATCCTCTGAGTGAGCCTGTGATGAGCAACAACTATTCCATCCCCATTTAGGAGATGACAAACTGAGGCTCAGACAAGGTTAAGGCCCACAGCTGCGGGGTAGCAGAGACAGGATCAGAACCACATCTGACCACACCCCTGAGTCCCTGGGCTCAGCTGGGCACTGTTCCTCCACCTCCTGATGGAAGCACGTGGCATCCTTGGAAGCCCAACACATCACAGGTGTGTAATAAACGACAACTAACAGCCACCACAGTGCAGGTATCCCGTATTAAGCTTTCCCACATGCCAGGCACTACGCTAGCAGCCTTAGAGCAGGATCCCGAGGAGGGGGATGCGCTACTGTATCTGTCTCCAAGAGGAAGAGGAAGGATTCTGGCTCTGAGAGATTAAGTTGCTTGTCCAAAAAACATAGCAAGTAGAAGGTGGAACCAGAAACAAGTGACAGGTGACACAGCCCAGCCACTGACTGACTCCCCTCCTTGCCAAATACCAAGCACTTTGGACACCAGTAGTTCTATCCATGGGCAGAAGAGGCTGAGGCCTTGCAGGCACCAATGCCCCAGCTACCCTGTGAGGTCAGCACCAAGGACAATCCTCGCTTCAGAGTATGAAGTGAGGCTCCATGAAGGCCAGCAGCCTCCCCAGGGCCAGTTGGAGTGAAGCAGAGCTGGGCCTGGACCCCGCATCTGTCTGACCCAGGCTCTGAGTTACTCAACTGTGCAGTGAAATTGAAATGAGAAGAGAAGTAGGAGAGAGGAGAGAAGCCCTGTCTCCTAGCACTGGGTCAGAGCCTACCATGTGGCTGGCTGGAGTTAAGCCATTCCCCAAACATTTACAGAGCACCACCTCAGTGTTCCAGGGGCTGAGCACACAGCGGAGCCCAGCAGCCAGACCCCAGGTCTCAGGAGACACCAACAGTAAGCGAAGAAATAAAACACAGTGCACACCAGGGGAGGGTTAGTGCTCTGAAGAAAAGAGCAGGGTTGGAGAATGGAACGGAGGATTAATGGGTACCCTGGACAGGATGGTTGGGGAACCTCACCACCCAGTGAAGCGAGGCAGAGGCCGGGTGGGTGTCTGGGAAGGAGCCTGCCGGGCTGCGAGAACAGCACAGGCTGCAGTGGCTGGAGTAAGCAGGGGATGCAGGATGGAACCTGCCAGGCAAGGGCTCTGACTTTCACCAGGCTGGACGGCTCAGCAGGGAGCAGGGCTCCAGCTAAGAGCAGCATGGGGAAGTGGGCAGCCCAGAAGCAGGCGGCTTTGCACCCACACAGGCAGAGGGGGCAGTCTTACTTCATGCGGATCTTGCGGGCCATGGCTCGAAGCTCATCTTCACGCTCCTGTGGCAGAGATGGCTGTGAGGCAGGGTCCGGGGCACGGGGCACGGGTCGCCCCCTGGCTTCCCCCCTTACCTGGCGCTCGTGCTCCTGCTGGATCATCTTCTCCTGAGCTGCCTTCTTATCCGCCTTGACTGTGCAGAGGGAGGAAAACAGTGGCTGAGGGGTGCTTGAGATGGAAGCTGAGCCCAGAGGAGCCCAGCAGACTGCCGTGACCCTTGGCGTGGCGCAGTAGGGAAGCGTGCCCACCCACTCCTCCCCAAGGCTAGGCTGGAGGAAAGAGCGGCTAGGAAGGTGGGGACACACTGCAGGGACATACACTGCCTGTTCAGTGCCTTCTGCATCCTCAGCTTCAGCTTCTCCTGCGGGGTCAACTTGGGCTGGGGAAGGGGGAGAAGAGGTGGGAGAGGGGGTGGGTGTCCCGGAGCTCCCACAACCCACCTCATCCAAGAGCCTGGGACTTGTGGGGGAACGTGGGCAGGAGGGGCAGGCTGCAGACACCCACCACAGGGTCCAGGAGGTCCAAGACACTTGGAGCCCCAGTGGACAGTGAGGCAGGGAGGGACGTGGATCTCATAGGGGCAGAGCACCCCCAGTCCCCCTTAACCCCCAGGGCTGGATCTCCTGGCCCACCCGGGCCCCCCTGCAGGCCCACCGGGCCCAGCTCTCGGGCACTGCTGCTGGCGGGAGTTAGACGGGCGAGTTCCAAATTCTTACTGACTTTGGCAGCTCCTGTCTCTTTACCAGCAGCAGGTTCAGTCCTGGGAGGAGGAAAGGGCAGCTGCCACCTTGACCCCACTGAGCAGCCTCATGATGGCCCTCAGGCTGTCCGGAGGGATCACGTCCCCCTCGCAGGCCCTCATCTGTGGCCAGGTGTGACTGTGACACTCTCAGCTGTGGACCCCTCAGATCCACCTGCCCAGGTAAGGGTCTTGGGCCCTCAGGTCTCCCAGGGAAGGGCAGTGGGCCTCTGGCCAAAATCCTCCTCCCCAAGCCTGGCCCCTGCTCACTTTTTCAGCTTCTCGCCCACGGCGGGGGACGCTGCCGGCCTGGCCAGCTTCTCCCGTGGGGGCGACGGTGAGTGACTTGGGCTGCGGCTGCGGCTGCGGCTAGGGCTGGGGCTGTGGGATGGGCTGCGACTATGGCTGCGGCTGCGGCTGGGGCTGGGGCTGAGGCTGCGGCTCCGTGTCAGGCTGCGGCTGCGGGAAGGGCTGAGGGACCAGCTGCTGCGGCTACGGCTGTGGCTGCTGCTGTGGTGCCTGGGGCCCCGGCCACCCCGTCGGTGCCGGTCCCCTGAGCGGGAGCGGCTCCTGGGGGCATGGCAGGGCATGAGGCTCCAGGGCCCCGGCCATGCTCCTGGTTCCCAGTTTACCATCCTCCCATAAGGCCCTGTAGTCAGTCTGGGTGACTCTCCACCTCCCTCCTGTCACTTTCCCTTGGAAATGCCCAGCTGCTCCCTGGCCTCACTGTTTCTAAACAAGAGACCACCTTCTGGGTACAAGTGCCCCCAAAGCAGCTCTTCATTTCTCAATCACCAGACACCCACTTCCCCAGGAAGGCAGGACCTGGTCAGCTCCCCTCCTGACACAGTGTCCAGCTCCAGGCACCCAGGAATGACCTCACCTACACCCTTACCATCTCGCCTTGCTGGGGGCCCAGGGTCTCAACACCAGTGGAGACCACCCCCTGGTCCAGTCCCCACCAGCCCGCAGAAGACCCACAGGACACAGCTCATCCTCTCTGCTCAGAGCTCTGAGGGCTCACCCCCATGGCATTCTCCATGTGCCCAGACCCTCCTTTCTCCCTCTGCCTTTCTCCTGTTACTGCCTGGGTCAGGAGACAGGGAATGACCTGGAAGCCAAATCTAGGCCACACACTGATTCTGTTGGGGCTGTCTTGGGTTTTTAAAAAATTCAGA